TTACTCATTGATCTCATACCAACAAAGGCTAAGTACCCCCACCCACCTCTTTCCCTTCAAGCCGAACAACGCCTCACCTAAAAGAAAAGGCTACCCCATCTCAACCCGAGCCTATGTCCACCAGCGATGATAGACATCGACCTGACCAGTGGGGACGATGGCTATTACCCGTGAAAATTTTCCCAACTGAACAACTCAGTGCCCACAACCAATGGTGGACATGGTCTTGGTAGCTATTGGGTGCTCGTTTTCCTCTGTTATAGCTGATTGACGAAGTTCAGAGAAGAATTAGTCCTTTCAAGCTCCCACCTCACGCCATTCCGCCACGCTTATGTCGTTTATTAAACATGGCGGACGTGATTGAATGTGAACTGGCCTGTAGGGTGATTAATGGCCGCTAGACAACGTGGCAGTCGTTAATCCTTCTGGCAAGTCCGGTACCAATTAGATCACTTTGAAAAGATGAGAAGTCCGATATGACCGGGTTGCAGATTGAACTAGTTAGCTAACCGGTCCTATAAATTGAGCGGCAACCTTCTGTGATGGCACTGCCGTTTTCTCATTTCACCTTTGACAGAGATTCAATATTTCTGCACTTCTATACATTTCTAAGAAGCCCTAGGGGATTCTTCCTTGATTCTGCGTCATTTAATCTTGTACTTCTAATTCTCTTTACCCGTGGAGGGCTACTTCTAGAAATGGCCACGAACCCAAACTTCTGACTAATTTTCATCAGCTTGAATTAGTTGTTTAGGCGTGTCATATCGATACATCAATGGCGCACACCCTGCGGAAGGGATGGCTGATGCTTCGCGGCAAGAGCGACAATGAGTGGCAGAACCATTGGGTAGTATTAGCAGGACTCAGCCTCAAATTGTACAAGTAAGTCATGCTCACTTCACAACTTCATACTTTTTCGTTTCGTTCTCTAGACTTGGAAGCATTTCCAAGTCTAGAGACTGAATTACTGGTAAAAAAGCATCCATACTCCTCAGATATCGTACTTACTCACGACGCTACCAGGACCTCACGCGCCTTTTCCCAGCTTCTCAGTGATGTATACCATATGACCTATCAACACTCACGCGCCGCTGGCCAAGCTGTGCTATGCTCAGATCACACTTCATTAGATTTTACAGT